CACAAGGAAGAAAGTCTCTTCCGAAAGAGAAGGTTTTTTCCAAAATTTGGCCAAATCTCGGAATAGCCACTTCCAAAAGAACAATTGGAAAAAGGTACCCAAAAAAGAAGTGTAGTGTAGACATAGCCTCAACGAGGCGCACAGATAGTTCGGAATAGGAAGCCTAGTCCGAACTATCTAGTTCGTGCTGCATGTAGCTGCGGGCACGGAGTCCGTACTAGCGGACGTTTAAAAATGGTGGCTCCTGGCAACATGCAAATGAAGCCCGGGAAATTCAAATCCCGGGCTTCATTTGCAAGTTCGTATGACTACATTAACCACCCTAGTTTGAACTAGGGTGGTAGTGTAGACATACCCTTACATCCTAAAGCCTGCATTCCCTGTCTCAGTGGATGTGTTTAGTTCTGGTGAGGAAAATGGAAAATGAACTTCCAGTGCTCTGTCTCCAGAATCTTTTATTAGCACTAAAAATTGTGTTTTCAAAGACATTAAAAAGCAAACAGAATTGTCTGTGGTTATAAATGCCCATTAAATATATTCCATGTAAAATAACTTGGAATGGCCTGATTGAGAACGCTTTTCTGAAGGGGCAGGGGTCTAAAATTTCCTGGCTATTCCTCTCTATTTATATATGCCTTAGGTTAGCAAAGTACCAGTTTGGAAGCAAAGATAAAAAGGAGTGAAATCCCTCAACCCACACTTTGCAGTAGGCTGTCCTGTCCTGTGCTAGCAATAAGTTTTGATATTTTGAAAACCCTCAGTCTTAATATCAAACAATTAGGCCTAGCGATAGGTGTGGGGGGAGGGGCAGTTGCCCCAGGGCCTGGATATTTAAAAGGATCTGGGGCTCCAGGCCCGTACACAGGAATTTCTCTGTGTGTGTGCGTGTGTGGGGGTGCTCTTTTTTGTAAACGTAGACAGCAAAGCTGCTAACGCACCCCCCATGGTCCCTCAAGTAAGTGTGCTCTGGCTGGCCAGAGGAAGCCTGGGGCTGATTTCTGCCCCCCGCCCCGGAGCGAGGCCCAGTCCACCCCCTGGCCTTGCTCTTGGGGAGAAAGGGGAAATCAGACCCAGCCTTGCCCCGGCCAGGTAGAGCTTGAGGGAGGAAGGCTCGGGCAGTGCGTTGCCTCTGTCTTCCCCTGGCCGACCGGAGCACACTTACTTGGGGGACCATGCCAGGATGGTGCATTTGCACTCTTCACACCCCCCTCCCCCACGTATGGTCCTGGGCTCCTAGCCGCCTCCACTGCTACATCCGGAGTGATGGCAGCTGGAGCCCTGTGCCCTTTAAATCGCCGTCAGAGCGCTGCATGTCATGCTCTGGGAGGCTGTGAGGGCTGGAGGCAGGGGCGGACACGGTATGCTCCAGGCGGGCTGGCTGCCCCAGCTCTGCTCCTTCTGCCTGAGGCCACGCCCCTCGCTGGAGTGTGGAGCTGCCCCCCTTCCACCTTGCCCAGGGTCCCAGCATGTCTGTTGGCCACTCTGCAAAGAATGAAAGTGTTTCATACACTGTAGATGTTCAGAACAACAATAGGGAGGAAAAAAAGACCCAATGTATTTACTTACGTTGAACTGTGATTTTTTTTAAAGGGATAGAGAATAAGACAGAGAATATCTTCTTGCCTCTATATAAATTCATTGTATGCCCACATCTTAAATACTGCTTACAGATGTGGTTGCCTCATCTCAAAAAAGATATCGGCATTGGAAAAGGTTCAGAAGAGGGCAACAAACATGACTGGGGGCTTGGAACAGGTGCCATATGCAGAGAGATTAAAAAGACTGGGACTTTTCAGCTTAGGAAACAGGAGACTAAGAGGGGAAATGATAGAGGTCTAAAAATCATGACAGGAATGGAGAAAGTGAATAAGGAAAATTTATTTACCTGTTCCCAGAACATAAGAACTAGGGGTCACCAAATGAAATGAATAGGTAGCAAGTTTAAAACAAACAAAAGGAAGTTCTTCTTCACACCACACACAGTCAACCTGTGGAACTCCTTGCCAGAGGATGCTGTGAAGACTAGGGCTGTGTCTAGACTTCACCCCTTTTGCAGAAAAGGGATGCAGATTAGACACAATGCAATTGCAAATGAAGCGGGGATTTAAATCTCCCCCGCTTCATTTGTATGAACATGGCTGGCGCCTTTTTTTTG